CAATGAAACGGGATGATAACCGCGCTGAACACGTGGGGCTTTCTCACGTGTTTCTCTGGCATTATGAGCGTAAACACGATCATTTTGTTTATTAAAAGTTTCTTTAATAGTGAAGATTTTTTCATCAGTAAACAAAATGTTGCGGTAGCGTTCTTTTCCGTAAACTTTCAACAACTCCTTCGCTCGAACTCTTATTTCCTTCAACTTATTTGTTAACAAATGTTCAGTGGCTCTTTTAAAAGCACCAAGTTTTATTTCCTCTCTGATAATACGAGAAGTAGTCCGAGCCGGAATATTCATCTCGCGAGATAAAATTTTTTGTTTCCGTAAGGACTTGCGCTGGATTTATACACGCACAGCATTGATTGCATTTGTTGTCCGCACAACACGAAGACGGCCTGCCCGCGGCCGATCAACTGTACCGCCCATTTTCTTGAACCTTCTAATAGTGCGAAAAATAAATCGTTCGGAAATATTCAGCGGTTGGAGAGTATTAAAAATATCGCGAGCACTCTTGGGGAAGATAAAAGTGTGGGGATACGGTGCAGCGCGAGAACAGTGATGAGATTCTCGTACACACCCCACTCCATGTTATCATTGTACACAAAGTAAACATACTGAGCGAAGTTGGCTCTAGCGGTTGCTTACTACATCGTACACACAACTCCTGCAGTATGGCCACATTGTGACGACCAAAATTCACGCGTTATTGAGCGTTGTAATATTACTGACAGAATTTATGGCGAGACTAGGTATAGTATACGCAATTTAACTGCAGCTTTACTTACTAACAAACGACAATATAAAAAAAGCTTGAGTTATTAGTATAAGAGCTACGGAAACTAAAATATGAACTTGATAAAAGTAATGACTATAGAAAAACAAAAACGATATATTTTCCAACAATAGGCACATCATCCTCAATAATACTGGAATCTGAACCTTCATCATTGTCGACTGCCCAGCATGGCATCAAGTAGCATTTGGCCTTGACATTATTAATAGACACTACACTAAAATCGGTATTCAATGCAGAACATTTATAAATACCGATTGATGAAGACGGAACACCGACATTATAAAAATCTTCAACAATTTTAAATTTAATTATCACTAAATAATGTAAATTATTACTTTGAAAAATATTGCGTACAATGCAAACTGACGAATCGCGAAAAATACAACATCTATCGCCCAAGGAATCTACGCCTAAAAACATACTTCTAATCTGCAGCTTCTTATATTGAGAATCATCCAATGAAAATCCCAGAGGCAGAGAGCCTTCATGGTACCTACCAAAAACTTTTATTATATCAGCACCAGTTGGAGGTTTTAGTTTCTTTCTTTTTTCCTTTTCCGCTTGCCTATAGACAAGTTGTTGTAAAGGGCGGTGCGGTTTCCTAATGTTTCTTAAAAAAGGATATATTATTTTCATAAGAAAAAACTAAAAAAGAGTCAAGAGGACCTAAACGTTCAACATCTTTTACTAAATGCAGTAAAGCGTGAACATTGTAGGACAAGAAAGTATGTTTATAAAAGTAGGGGCACTTTTCTACGAACTTCTCAAGAGCAAGCTTTGCAAAAAGCAATATTATCGGCGAAGGTGAAGAATGGCACAGTGCACGTATCGCCACATGAAAAAGTAAGTAATGTATATAACCAGGTTTTTCCATAATGCCTTATAAAACAACTGGCTTAGTATACAAAGTAAACTGACGACCTTCGGTTGCTTTATAATCTTTGTAGTCAGCAAGTGGTCGTGACTTTCTGGAAAAATTTTATGGGCAATACCGTGCAATATGTTTGAGTTGTTTCAAAATCAAGTCTTGGTTTCGACCGAAAAATTTCATTTTTTTCCCTTACTTTCCAGTAATCCATGCAGTTAACAATTTTTTGGCAACACCTATACAAATCAAATGCATGTATTCGACAGGTACTTGCGAGACCATACCCATTGATAATCGAGATAGTGGACTCGGTCCCTTGTGATGATCTTCATCATCGGGAAGGCCCCGTTTGCCTACAAATTGATTGCCTACAGTATCGATTGCCGACATCTCGTTTGTCCACATTTTATTTGCACACAAAAATTATTGCCTACAGATCGATTGCCTACAAGCCGTTTTGCGCATAAATAAAAAATTAAAGGCCAAACGCTTGTTTGTACACACGACACTATTGCGCACAAATCACATTGCACACATAATATTATTGCCTACAGCACGATTACTTACAAGCTCTATTGCGCACAAATCAAAATTAAGAAACGAAAGTACGTTTGCTTACAAAAATTATTGCCTACAAGCTCTATTGCGCACAAATAAAAATGAAGAGACAAACGTACGTTTGCACACAAAATTTATTGCCTACAGTACAATTGCTTACAAGCTTTATTGCGCACAAATATAAAATTAAGCAAGGTCTATCCGCATCGCCCGGTGCTTTGGATGCAAAACTAGGTCTATAATTATACGGTTTCACATGGGTTTGCAACTTTCCGCACAAAGCAAGGTCTACCCCCATTGTCCGGTGCTTTGGATGCAAAACTAGGTCTATAATTATATGGCTCTACATAGGTTTGCAACTTTTCGCGCAAAGCAAAATCTACCTCCATCGCCCGGTGGAACCGTATAATTGTAGACCTAGTTTTGCATCCGAAGCACCGGGCGATGGGGGTAGATCTTGCTTTGTGCGGAAAGTTGCAAACCCATGTGAAACCATATAATTATAGACTTAATTTTGCATTGAAAACACCGGGCGATGCGGGTAGACCTTGCTTAATTTTTTATTTGTGCGCAATAAAGCTTGTAGGCAATAAATTTTGTGTGCAAACGTACGTTCGTCTCTTCATTTTTATTTGTGCGCAATAGAGCTTGTAGGCAATCGTACTGTAGGCAATAATTTTTGTGTGCAATGTGACTTGTGCGCAATACTGTAGTGTATACAAACAACCATTCGGCTTTTAATATTTTATTTGTGTGTAGTATAACTTGTAGGTAACCGATCTGTAGGCAATCATTTTTGTGTGCAAACGAAATGTGGACAAATGGGATGTCGGCAATCGGTACTGTAGGCAATCAATTTGTAGGCAAACGGGACCCTCCCTTCATCATCGAGTCGAGAATATTCATCGGTTCGTGGGCAATGATTTGTACCTACTAACACCATTTGACCATCACATCGAATACCGACAACTCTGCATTTAGAGCAGGGATTACTGGAAGTATGTCCAAAATGATTCAGTAACCATGAGCGTGCAGGTACATCTGCGATGAAAGCTCTTAGTACCACTGGGAATTGTTTCTGAAGAAATGAAACATCACCGCTGTCGATAACTTGAAGAACGTCATCGATAAACTCTTCGAGGAAAAGATCAATGTTACCTGGTTTTTTTGATCCTTTGTATACTCCTATAACTTCAGGTTTTGAATTAGCGATGTTAGCTGTATAACATTGAATCGGCCAAATTTGCATATTTCCCGAGTTATTCAACCTGGCACCATCAATACTCCAATCGACTTGCAGTACATCTGGAATCAAGTGCGGTGATGTTTTTTGTAGAATTCAAAGAAGACCTTTCTCAAATCCTACATGCAAATATTCTCCCGGATACATTTTACGCACAACGGCACCTCCACGTGGAGTGTTTAATAATGTTCGTGTATCTATTGGAAGATATGCGAGAGACGGCAATGTTCGCAATGTTTTCAAAATGATATTTCCTTGTGTATGTGTAAGATTTGCTTGTATAAAAGACGATGCAAGGGATTCTTGAAAAACATGCAAAGGATTAACGTCTGCAACTGTATTGTCATCACTTATGTTAACAGAAGAAACATTACTTTGGAGGCTGATAAAACTACCACTATTATCGACATCCATTTTATCAGCAGAAGAACAATGCTCACTGCGTTGCTCGCTGGCAACAGATATTTGATCGAGAGAATAGTGACATTGAGATGTTGAAGTTACACCTATACTACTGTCATTTGCATCTTCCATATTATCCGGTAGTGTGTTTCGATTCCTTTGATTGATCTGCCGTAACGAGCGTAATATGTTTGTACGTTGGAGTAATGACAATTTAAAAACCGGTTTCCGACCTTGCGAGGTTTTAAATTTTCGAGTTTGAAAGGGATTTATTTCAGCAATATTAAAACATGTAAGATTTAAAAAATTTCAATAAAACACTGCACGTATGTCAAAAGCAATAAATAATTTAAAAACTGGTACAATGAAGAACATAACTGAAAATCTTACACAAATTTAAATATGTAGAAATAATCTGAAACAAAGAAAAACCTGAAATGTATATGCTATATGTATTCATCGTAATTTTCAAATTTATAGTTTCATCGATTATCACACTGCACAATATTAACATGTAACGGAATTTTTATTTATAAGGAAGAAAGAGAATATCATACTATAAATAATAATAAATCCACGACTATCACATGCGATAAATTAAGAAGCCGGAAGTAAAATAAGCTACGTAATTATTAAAAGAAAATATATTATCTCTTAAAAGTTTTTTCAGACTGAATTATCGCATATATATATACATATATACAATATATATATTAAAAAACATCAGCAACTAGAAATTTTTTAAATTAATTTATACATGTATATTTATACTTTACAGCAATCTATGATATTTTTCTATGTACTTGGTGACAGACAATATTTTTTTATATATTTGGTCTCTTCCACGTAGCAAGCGGTCATTATCTGATGTCCTAATTATTAATCATGACGTCACAATCGATTATTTTGACGGCAAAATAAGAAATAAATCAGATAATGACCGCTTGCTACTTGGAATATTACTGACATGTATAATCTTATCCGTGTGGTAGACTTGCAAATGGCTGGGTAAAGTTTTAAATAATAAGCTTTAAATAAACTATAGCATGTTAACAGTCTATTATATAAAAGTCATCTGTGTTTTTACATAATAATATAACTTTGATATTTAAAGCGAAATTGCAAACACTAATATCTCCAGTATTATAAGAAATTCTGACAAAGAAATATCTATTTCACAGTGATTCGATTGCGACGCATACAAATAGATACATCCTGCAACGACGAACTTCTTTTCACAGTAATTTTTTTCTCCAAAGGTTTATAAAAATATATTAATCATAATATACACAGTATGTTTGAAAAATAAAATGATTGGTGCTATATCAATTTAAACACTAATCGTATGTGTAAACACCTTTTATTTTATTCAAAATATCCCTTAGGAAAATTTATTTTAGACTGGCCTAAAGTTTATTAAAGTTTTGTTTAGTAACTTTAAAAAATTGAAAAGTTCTATTAAGTAACTTAAAAAATTTTTAAGTTTTGTTTAAGTTATTTCAGAGTTTTAAAAATATCCTTGAGTTTTTGCTTCTTTAGTTATTGAAAACATAAAGTTCATGAAAAGTATCTAAAAGTTTATGTGAAGTAACTTAATGGTGGTGTTTAGTAACATAAAGTTGGCGTAAAAGTAAATAAAAGTTTGTGTAAAATAATTTCAAGGCCTCCCTTAGGAAAATTTACTTTTTGAAACTTAAAAAAAATAATTTAAGAAAACTTTTTGATTTATTATAAAACTTTTTAAAAATTTTGAAGAGTAAATTTGAACACTTTAAAATAGGATTTACTCTTCAAAAACTTTGAAAAATTTCTTTAATAAATAAAAAAGTGCTCTTAAATTATTTTTTTAAAGTTTTATATAGTAAATTTTTCTAATATTAATATTAGTGAATACAAATGTGTAATGCAGAAGTAATAAACAAGGAAATAGAATTTGCAATTAACCTGCAGGTTAATTGCAAATTCTTTTTCCTTGTTTATTACTTTTGTATTACACATCTGTTTAATGCTAATAAATTTACAATGTGAGTAATTTGTGTTCCGCATTCAATTCTCTGAGCATTGCAGTATTTACAATTTTAAGTATTACATGATTTCAAGGACCAAAACTTAAGAAACTTTAAGACCTTGAAGTTACTTTACACAAACTTTTACTTACTTTTACACCAACTTTATGTTACTAAACACCATCATTAAGTTACTTCACATAAACTTTTAGATACTTTTCGTGTACTTTATGTCTTTAATAACTAAAAAAGCAAAAATTCAAAGATATTTTTGAAACTTTGAAATAACTTAATCAAAACTTAAAAATTTTTAAAGTTACTAAACAAAACTTTAATAAATTTTAGGCCAGTCTAAAGTAAATTTTCCTAAGGAACCCATTTTCAGTACTTTTCTTCACTAAACTCCATAAATTTTGCTTAATAACAAAATTATTATGAAGTTGACCATTAAATATTTATGTTTCAGACAATATATTGATTCGCCATGTTTATAGAATTACTCGAATTTCTCGTTATTGTTATAAGTGCTGTGTATATTTATTACAAGTATGTATTATTTAATTATTGGCGCAAGAAAGGCGTTTTTTACGTTAAACCTATTGTACCAGCGGGCAATTTGACAGCTTTTGTAACTGGAAAAAAATCTCTGGGTAAGAGTATTTTGTGCATTAATTAACATTCTTTTTTATATATTTACATCCTCGCGTACTTTTCCATCGCCGTTATTTCTTTTTTTCTTATATTTTATTCTTATTATTCCACGTTTTTTCCTTTTGTTTTACTTTCTGTTTTCTTTATTAATTTACATTTGTAATAATAATTGAAAAATAAAAAAACAAATATTTTATTCTAAGTGGAATAATAATTAATAAATACAGAGTTCATACATATGTATGTTCCAAATTACTTTTCTATCTTTCATGACATATAAAGTTGCCCCATTAAAATATTTTTTGCAAGAGTAAGATTAAAATGATGCTTACATTTTGTTATACAAAAGATTATATTGTCATATAATAAATTGTGTGTGAGATCTTTTAAAATTCTTCCAAAGTCATAAAATTCAAGCAATTTCTGTTATATTGTTATGTCTTTATTTAATGTGAAAAAATGCGAAACATGAATAGAAAATGAATTCCACAGGTGAACTTTATCTTGATGTCTATGTAAGATACAAGGGCCACCGTGCCTTCGGAATGTATTCATTCTTTAAGCCTAATTTGGTAATCGCCGATCTCGATCTTATTCGAACTGTGTTAATAAAAGAATTCGAGAGCTTCCATGATCGTGGAACGTTTTGCAACGAGAAAATTGATCCATTGTCAGGCAATTTGTTCAATCTGCCTGGAAAAAAGTGGCGAAACTTGCGCAACAAGCTGATACCCACGTTCACTTCCGCAAAAATAAAGCAAATGTTTATGACATTGAAAGAACATGGTAGACAATTAACCCAGAGCGTGGAGAATGAAGGTCGGGCAACAGATTGCATCGAAATGAAGGATATGTTTGCAAGGTGAGCAACCTTTTTTTTAAGAACTGCACAAAAATTTTAATCAGCAAAAAATAATATACAAAAATTGCAACAGATTGCATCGAAATGAAGGATATGTTTGCAAGGTGAGCAACCTTTTTTTTAAGAACTGCACAAAAATTTTAATCAGCAAAAAATAATATACAAAAATTACAAATAGAAGACTATTAATAAATTGATTTTTTTTTAAAGTATATAAAAATATTTACTTTTTTAAAACTTATCCTCTGTTAAAATGTAAAAGAAGTAAGAAATGTATAATATATTATTTTTAAAACTCATATTATGCTTGAAACAACAAGTTAAGAGACATTTTAAGAGAAAAGTTAACAATTATGCATTTATAAATACAAATACACAATTTGTAAAATATATTTCAACAAAAAAGCAAACAAAAAATTTTTTTTATATCTTAATTGATAATATTTTTTTACAAAGTCAGCATATCGCGTAAACAAGAATGTGTCATGTTACAAATTAATAAGATGATCAACTAAATAATAATTATCTTATTAATTTATAACATGACATATTCTTGTTTATGCGATATGCTGACTTTGTAAGGAAATATTGTCAATAATCGAAATGATCAATTTAATAATTTATATCAAGAATATCGAATATAGCGCAATATTGTGAAAAACACTTTTGCGAGTTATACTTTGCATTTTTACTTGTATATACATTGCATGATAAAAATTTATTAAAACTTAGTGAAATAAATTTTTTTCAATTAACAATAGATATTCGACGGACGTAATCATGTCAACAGCTTTTGGAATCGAAGCCAATTGTATAAAAGATCCGAATAGCGAATTTCGACGCTGGGGAAAGCAAATCTTTAAAGAAAATTCCTTTTGGATCGCATTGTTTTTATTCTTTCCCCAATTTATGAATTTCTTTTCCGTTCCTACCACTAATAAAAATATCACACAATTCTTTATAAAAATGTTTCGGGACAATGTGAATTATAGACAAACTTTTAATGTCGTTCGGCACGATTTTATGAATCTTCTGATACAACTCATGGAAAAGGGCTATGTTGAACCCGACGATAAGAAAGATACCACTAAAGATACCATTAATGTATCTCGTAAGTTCATAATGTTAATATTTATTCTTATATTATTGTTCGTGTTAATTTGTATAATATAGCTACGCCAAGTAGATAAACGCATCTGCAGTTTTTCTTCTAAAGTATTTCTGCAGATTGCTTATTTGAACATATCTTATATATTTCATTTATTATCCACAGCAACCACGAATAGAATTACTATGTTAGAAGCTACTGCACAAAGTTATGTTTTCTTCTTGGCCGGCTTCGAGACTTCCTCAACGACGGCGACATTCAGCTTATACGAATTGGCTCAACAACAACACATACAGGACAAAGTTTACAATGAGATTGATAAAGTACTAAAAAAGCATGGAGAACTGACTTACGATTCTGTGAACGAAATGACATATCTTCACAAAGTAATAAACGGTAAGTATTTTTGCTCTTGCAAAGATAATGAATCAAAGAACTTGAGGAAATATTCAAATACTTTCTTTTCAAATTTATATGTATTTCTTAAAAAAATAATAATAAAAATTTGTTACATTTTAAAAAGTGCATTTTTATATTTTTTACGTATTACAGAAACTTTGAGAAAATATCCGGCTGTACCTATTCTAAATCGTGTCTGCACTAAAGATATAAACGTTCCAACGACGAACATCCATGTGCCAAAAGGAACTTTAATCTCCATTCCGGTATTCGGAGTGCATCGTGATCCATCAATATATCCAGATCCGGATAAATTTGATCCCGAACGATTCAACGCGGATGAGATAGCGGCTAGACATCCTTATGCTTATTTGCCTTTTGGAGAAGGACCACGAATTTGCATCGGTAAGAATAAATTAATCTATTTATACAGGGTGTCCCAGACCTACCATAACACCCGTTAATGGCAGATTCCTGAGGTTATTTGGAGACAAAAATCTTAATGCCAAAATGTCGAGGCTGCTAGTTTTTGAACAGGAAAGGTTTAAAGTTCACAATCAGCTTGTCAAAATTTTGTGCGCTCAGGGACATCGCATCTCGAAAGAGCCCACAACACTTTACTTGGCTCACTTTATTCACTTTATTTTTTTGTATACTGTTTGCAAGACTGACAAATTTAATAACGATAATAATTTTTACTGTATGAAGCGCAATGCGCATCGAACTGTCAAAGCATTCATGTGAAGCGTGCCATTAACAAGTGACATTTCTCATGTGATGAGAAAAAATCAATACAATCGGTACGAAGTGTGATTGTATTATCCGTAAAGTATTGTGCTCAAATGACCTCAGGAATCTGCCACTAACAGGTGTTACGGTAGGTCTAGGACATCTTGTATATTTAATAACAGGGGATCCTACAAACTAAATCAATTCGAACAGCGCTGCATCCGCTCATTCGCCGTTACAAGTACTTTTGTCTTCTTTTTTGACTATCATACCTAGATAACTAAATGTTAACAATGTTGGCCAATTTGCCAACATCGCTAACATTTCGTTTGCTATGTAGTTACACTTCTTTTTTTCATTAACCTCGCCATTTAAAATCTTGTAATTTTGATCTCTGATTTGTAATTAAGAACCTTGAAATTTACAGACACTTAAAGATTTCTTAGATACTAATTTTGCATAAGTTAAAGAAATATTTCCTATTCGTAATCAGAGATATTGTAACAACTTTATTGCTAGTAAAAGTTAATGAAGCCAATAATTATAGATTGAAATGTAAATTATTCCGTTAATGTATCTAATTTTCAGGTGCGAGATTTGGTTACTTGCAAGTCAAAATTGTACTTGTGAGTCTCTTGTCGAAATTTAAGTTCAAGCTTCATCCTCGAACTCCAGTTCCACTTTCTTTCGATGAACGATCTCCTGTACTTGTAGCCAAAGGCGGTGTGTATTTTATCATCGAGCAGCGATAAAATAATTTTTTTTAATAAGAGGTATTTTTATTTAAATCTTAAAAAAAAAATTATTTTTAAACATTGCTGCGTACATTACGTACACAGCGTGTCTTACAAATATTGAATAGTACAATAGATTTAATAGAGAGTGAAAAGGAAGAAGAGAGAAGAAGAAAGAAAAAGAGAGGGAAAGAGAGAAGACAAATATAACAAATTGGCACAGCACTGATGAATTAACATGCAATAAGAAACAAAAATCGAATTAGGAGTGTACATGTGTGTAGTGCGAAGTGAGATAAGTGTGAACGCGCGTGATCGGATTTAATCGGACACGCATTGGCATTCTCCAAGTAGGATAAGAACATCAAGTAAAATTGGAATCTAAATTTAGGTAAGATAGATATAAAACTAAATATAAGAAAATTGTATACCCGAAGAGGTAATAACCATCAATAAACCATCAATTAAAATCTATCTGCGGTGTAACAAACATAATAGTTAATCGTCAAAATCTTGTTAATCGTAATGTACACAAAAAATTCCTCCTGAGAGATTAACAATTTTAGTAATATACTTTATTTAAAAAAAAAGAAACTTTTTAACATAATGCATATTATAGCATGGTAAAGTTAAAATAGCCCATTTTTATAACTTTGATCTTGAATTTCTCAAAATTGTGACGTGATGAAGCATCATTAAAAGCGGCATTATGTTCAAAAAAACTATGAAAGGAGATACCTAACATTCATGTGTTCGAAAAATGCTATTTTTTGTAAAACTGTGTTATATGAGTTATAATTTTTAGGATTGTGTTATATGTGTTATATGTGTTAACTCTGTTATATGTGTTATAATTTTTAGGACAAATTCGGCGATAATGTTTGAATTACGTGTAATTACAATGAAATAGGAATTTAAGTAAACACATGTTTTAAAGCATAAAGCATAAAAATGTATCGTTTATTTTGTAGATATTTCTATACACAGATTTCTTAAGTTATTTTATTTTTATCGTAAAAATTGATGACAATTAAAAGACTGCTGCTGCACGACGAACGCGAAGTTGGGAATTGAACCCGGGTCTTCCGCTTGCCGGGCGAATGTTCTGACCACTAAATTACTCAGACCCCACGCTTCTAACATTTATCTCTCTTAGATTAGGAAATCAACAAATCCCTTAGCCACTCGCGCCCTGATATTTTTTCTCTCTTCCTTTCTTTCCAATAATTCCTATCAGTACATACTGATTCTCCATATGTGAGAACAATGACTAAAATTTTCGTACACTTTAAGTATCTCGAACCAGAGATCGGTGTACAAATTTAACTGTCTCACGTAGACTAACAAATTAATTTCTTTAAAAAAAATTATAATTTCGCACTAACATCCCGCGACGGCTTTTTATGCCTTTCTATTATATTATTTGATAGTTATCATTTGAGCCTTTCCTTTATATGTGTTAGATTGTTTTAAATCATGCGGGCATTATGACGCGTTTATGTCCTACAGATTTGTTGATTTCCTAATCTAGGAGAGATAAAGGTTAGAAGCGTAAGGTCTGAGTAGTTTAGTGGTCAGAACATTCGCCCGGCAAGCGGAAGACCCGGGTTCAATTCCCGGCTTAGATATTCGCGCCCTGATATTTTTTCTTTCTTCCTTTCTTTCCAATAATTCCTATCAGTACATACTGATTCTCCATATGTGAGAACAATGTACTAAAATTTTCGTACACTTTAAGTATCTCGAACCAGAGATCGGTGTACAAATTTAACTGTCTCACGTAGACTAACAAATTAATTTCTTTAAGAAAAATTATAATTTTGCACTAACATCCCGCGACGGCTCTCTATGCCTTTCTATTATATTATTTGATACTTATTTAAAATTATCGTATTTAAAAGTTCAATTATACGTTAACTCGATTGAATTTATTGGTATTCATTAAAGCCGTTCATCAAGCCGTTCATCAAGCCGTTCATCAAGCCGTTTTTGTCTTATAGGCCTTTTAGAAGAAATTGCTGAACATGTAGATAAACGTGACAAAAACTAATAGTTAGAGCCGAAGGGGATGGGCAAAGCCCGTTGGCAGCGCCAAGTTTTTTTGTATTTTTTAATAAATATTTTGTTATTTTAATTAAATTTTTTAAATTTTGTATATGCACTAAGAATAACATATCACTTACTTTCTAGAATCAAATTTTGATCAGTTTTATTTATACATTTTATGTATATTTTATGCATGCTTATTTTGAATTTGCACCTTGAATAATATATCAGTTACTTTTCATGTTGGTAATATATTAAAAATTTAGATAATTATTAAAATATAAACATAATGGAGTGTCTTTTTTAGAACTCTGCCAGACCTTATCATTTATGATTTTTTGTGATATATCACGTACTTTTTAGAGCATTGAAATTATTTTAAAATTATTTTTGCACATTTTGGATGTAACATTTATATTAAGTCAGTTATATATTAACTAAATTATTTTACATTCCAACACAAGTATTTTGTTTTTCATATCACACTTACATTCTGTGAAATAGATGTTTTATTTCGAATATTTAAACTAAACTATTTTTTGTTGTAATATTTTTTTGGTTTGACTGTCCCATTGATATAAAGCCATGGATAGCTGATATGAAATATCTTTGGTTTGACATCACGGTTTTGTTAAAATTTTTATAAAATATGCGAAATAAAACTATGATATCAAATCAAAGACATGTTAAACATAAAATAATTTAGTTAAAACATTCGAAATGACACTTATTATGTTTCACATAACGTAATTGTGATATCAAACGCAATACTTATGTTATTAGTTATTTTCTAATATTACCAATAAAACATCTGTTTCACAGAATATAAGTGTGATATAAAACAAAATACTTGTGTTATAATGTGAAATATTTTAGTTAATAAGTAATTAAGTTACTATAAATGTACAAAATTAATTATGTGACAGAATTGAAATTATTTTTTAATTATTGTTGTACATTTTGGATGTAACACTTTTATTAACTAAATTATATATTAACTAAGTTATTTTGCAATCCAACACAAGTATTTTGTTTCATATTACACTTATATTCTGTGAAACAGATGTTCTATTTCGAATATTCAAACTAAACTTTTTGTTGTAATATGTCTTTGGTTCGACTGCCCCATTGATATGAAGCCATGGATAGCTGATATGAAATATCTTTGGCTTCATATCACAGTTTCGTTAAAATTTATACAAAATATGCGAAATAAAACTATGATATCAAATCAAAGACATATTTGTTGAGCGCAGTTAGGATAAGAAGCGAGACACGTCTTTACTCGACAAAAGACAATCCAGAAGAGAAAGATTTATTTGTAACATTTCGCAGGTACAAAAAAACATCTTATCAAGTGCAGCATGGCGCCCGGTTCAAAAGAAAGAATAGTATTTTCTTACAACACTCTTACTCATTAATTATTAGAAATTGCTTTACTGTAACAAAAAAAATCTTCAATATATACATATATATATATATATATATATATATATATATATATATATATACAGATAACATAAACACATTCTATAAACATTTTATAAATATTTGTTGAAAATATTAGAATATTCTTTTAATGTATTAAAAGATGTTCTTTAAATCTTCATAAAACGTTCAAATAAGACCAATTTTAATATTCCAGATAGGTTGAAAAAATATTCTTTATTATATTCCAGGAATATTCAAAGAGAGAAGATGTTTAATACAATGTAAAGAACATTCACTGAATATTCTACTAAATTACCTTTAGTATTCTAAATATTTATGCAAATACATTGATATAAAAAAAGGTTTAATCAACTTTACCAATATTAAATGTTAAACAAAAGTTTTTATTGTTTTAATTTTTTATTCCAATAATATAAACATAAACATAAACCAAAAGAAACATTGATATTTTTAACAAAATAATTATATTTAAAATTGCACACATTCTTACAATAAAATATATATAATACAAAACAAGTAATATTATCGCTCGAAGGTTTGAAGTACCTCTACATAACGAAAAGCTTTTATTATTTTAATTTTTTATTCTAATATGTTTCAAAAATAAAAATAAAAATGATTTATTTTTATTTTTGATTTAATGATTTATTATTTAATGATTTATTTTTAACAAAATAATTACATCTATAAAGAATCGTTTTCATCTAGAAATTATAAAGTGCTCCAAACTTTTGAGTGTACATAGTGTACTTTATAATAAGACACTTAAGTATTGCTCTTATAATAAGATACATAAGTATTGCTCTTATAACACTATTTTACATTTTTTTTGCGTTTCTAGCTTTTGCTCTTACAAGCCATGCTTTCATTACAGTATCACTTAATGGTATATCAGTGTGTGTTTCTTGCACTGCTTCTATAAATAAAATAAGTATTACATTAGTAAAATATAAATATTACATAGTTCCACACACACATACACACATTTATATATGCATGTGTAGATGAAATTAATTAATTAATACTTACTTATTATAGCACCAGATATACGTAAAAGGGAAAACTTATTCTTTCCTTTAAATCCGATCCAACTATATTTTTCGACTACTTCATTTGAAAATAATTGGAACATTATTTTTTTAATAGTATGCTTATACGTTGCTCCACCAACTTTTCATAATTCTATTACCTGTTAAATTATAATATATTAATGAAAATATAGACATTTTTAATTTATTCTTTTATTTTTTTATTTAAAGTTCTATTTACAAGTATGTTAGTATTGTTGTTTTCATCGGTTAGATACTCTTCTACGGCATTTAATTCAGAAATGTTTTTCAGAGGAAAGTCAAATTTATTAAAAATACTGTTTTCGTCATTTCTTATTAATGTTCTATTTTCTTGTGTTCCAATTCTTTTTAAAATTATTTGTACATCTTCACATATTTGCGATTGTTTTAAATTAAGGGGGCAGCCTCGTGTAACCGGTTAAAAAAATTAAAAAAATTTTTTTTGCTTTAATCAATAGTAATCCATGTAGAAAATATATTTCCAAAGTTACAGAACAAAATTCGAAGTTTTAAGGAGTCCACAGCCCATTTCTTGCGCGCAGATATACAAACGCGTGGCGGGGCGCTTGGTCAACGGTAACATAAGATATAAGATTATAGAATTTGTAACTGTTTTTGACGCGTTTTCGGAAGTACTTATTTGAGAGTGCAATTTGGAGAGTGCAAGCAAAGTGTGAAATTCGAAGAAGCAGGAAATCGGAGCCTCAGTTTTAAACTTGTTGTTACACTTTTCTTTTTTACTTTTCAATACCGAAAACTTTAAACGCGTTTTTCTCGAAACCAGTTTTTGGCAATTGGCGGGAAAAATTACTCAAAAACTATTCGATCAATCGAGTTGTCCCTGTGTATACATGTAGTTTAATAATATAAATTGTCGATGAACC